CTGGATCGCTACTACAAGCCAGATCTCACATAAGAGGCAGTAGATCTTCTTAAGAAATGTATAGCAGAGCAGGTTTATCTTGAGCCTTCCGTTATTCACTGTGCAGGTCATCGATCAGGATGGAATCCACGATTTGGATAACATTCCGGCACGGAGTATATAATCCTCCCCTACCTGACAGTCTATTTTTTACATGGATTTCTACTGCTTTTGGAAATTATCCTCAATACATTAATCCCAGGATGGCAAGGCTTGGGATATGTGAAACGCAACAAAAAAAAATAGTTTCAAAGGCAATTTCTAATTTCTGTTTATATGTCTTCATCAAATGATCATTTTATTCTTTCCAGGTTTGGGATAAATGTACTTTAAACCTATCTCTGGGGAAAAACTGCCCCATAATGCAAGGGTTAACTGCTCATTTGTGTCTAGGAGTATTGTGTAAAGGACTTTTACTTGCCTGAATCCCAATCGCCCAACAGTTGTCAGTCACCTGTCTCCCCTGCACTCTGGCTTGTGGACTGTCCCTCAGCATCAGTGGGCCTCTGACCACTGGAGTGCAGGGGAGAAGAGGCTGTGGGCGCCGGTCTTGAAATCTAGCCTATGGGAGCGAAGATCAGGTAAGTCAAATTCCTTTACACACGACCCCTAGACAAAAACGAGCAGTCAACCCATGCAGTCCAGCCCTAGTACAATGGTAGTTTTTCCTGAAGACACTTTAAAAATCAACTGCTACAGAACAGAAATGCCTTTGCATAGTCATTATTTCAGCATACATTCCGATTCCCAATCAGGTAATTTTTACTCTTTCTTTAAAAAAAAGAAGGAACGCAAAAAGGATATTCACATAGATGTAATCAATTTGTGCAGGCACATACTCGATACCTCTTGCTGGATATTTTCCATACTACAGACAATTACCAGTTTGCGATCCATTGTTAAAACTGGTATTGTTTAGTTATGTAGAACATACCTCCATCATCTCCAGCTTGTCAGGATAGGCAAGGTCTCCTGGAGCTGGCTTGTAACCCAGGATATCTGTCTGGATGTATATGTGTGTCCTATAAACAAGTCTTTCCTGTACGTCCTCCAACATCTGTTTCACCACAGCATCAAAGGCACCCAGTTGACAAACTGATACAAATGAAACAAATAAGTTAATGGAAAAGATATAAAAACTCTTCAGGGTAGTTTCATGAAGCAAAACAAATACAAAACAATCAACGAAAAAACAGAAGCAAGTCAAATGCAGTATGCTCTTCTGTTGCTTTGACTCTACATTAGAATTGCTTTGACCTGCATTTGCCTAGTTTCTGAGGTAGTTGTGATTAGCTTACAAGTGACTTCAGGCTGCTATTAAGTTGCACCTGAGATGCTTGGCATTTATTTTGGGGTTTTTTGTCTTATGAGGAGTGCAAGCAAGTCAGAAGCAGACAAATGCCCATGTACACAAGCCCTACAAATTTAGAACATAGCTCCTCGAGGATCCAAATCACAGGGTTCTGTTGAAACCAGCAAAATATTACTAAAACAGCCACCACACAACATTACCCAAAGGGAATGCAGTTTATTTTCCTTCCTTAATAGATTTTCTTTCATGTGGTGGTATACTAACACTAATAAAATGGAGAAAAGATACTAAATACCACTCAAGGCCAACATATTTGAGAACAAAAAAATGACAGGCATGTAGATTTAGGTATCTTGTTTTCTGCCTATACATACACTGCATATGTAAAGCTAACATACGGGTTGATTTGAGCTTTATTAGGAAATAGGATTTTTGTATTCACCATAAAACCCTTTTCTTGGAGTCCATTGATGAACACAGGAAATCTTAGAATCTAGAAAACCCGCCCACAACCGCCGTGCCTAGGTTTTCTCGCAAAGTAGTACTGACAGCATGAAAGAATCATTGAGGGGACTGTCCACACGTTTTTATTTTAATTTTTTTAAATATTTAATTTTTATTCTTGATAAACTTTAATTTTTTTTTAATTCATTTACTTTCAGCAAAATATATATTGCTGAATACTGCACAAGTTGTTTTGTGTAATAAATTAAAATGTTTCAGAAATGAAATCATTTTTGGGTCACGCCTTAATGACCAAGGAAACATGTGGGTCCCGAGGTTACACAGGTTGAGAACCACTGCCTTAGAGCAGTGATGGCTAAGGTTTTTGAACACAAGTACCCAAAATCAATTTATTCCTCTCAAAGTGCCAACACTGAAAATAAGTTTGAATATGTGTTTCCCTATTTTGCCTAAGGCAGTGATGCTGAACCTTTTTTTAAACCTCAGTGCCCACACTAAATCACAATACCAAACATTTATACAAACACATATAATCACATACTCATCAAACACACACATGCATAAAAACACACTTAACACACGTAATGAAAGAAACACGCATTTAAAAAAAACACACACACCCACATTTAAAAAACACACACATACAGTGGATGGATGGATCCTGTCTGCGTCCAAGCAGGGACACCCACACGGATGTGCAGTTCGGGTGAGCATACGGCGGCGTACTCCCATAGAGAAGAACAGGTTGCTGTGTACAATCACACGCAGCACCTGTCCTTCCCGGGAATGGCCCAAAACGCCCGTGCATGCCGCACAGATCTGTACGGGCCAACACTGTGAATGAGGCCTAAAAAAAAAAGAGCTTTCCTGGAGCATTTCAGTCCCTGGTAGTGCAACTGAAGTAAACGATAAAACTATGGGTGGCAAGGCACGGTCAAAAGATCTCCAGGATAAAGTTGTAGACAGGCACAAGTCAGGAGATGGATACAAAAAAAATGTCAAAGGCTTTATCAATGCCACAGTGAAGTCTATTATTAAGAAGTGGAAGGAATTTGATACAACACAAACCCTCCCTGGATCAGTGCGTCACTCCAAACTGGATAAAAGAGCCAGGAGGTAAAAGGTCAGAGAGGCTACCAAGAGGCCTACAGCAACTCTGAAGCAATTAGAGGGATTTATGACAAAGAAATGTCATTGTGTGCATGTGACAATATCACAAATTCTCCACGTGGCTGGTATGGAAGGGTTTCAGGAAAAAAAAGCCACTCCTCAAGAAAGGCCACATTCAGTCACGACTGAGCTTTGCCAAAACGCACCTTGAAGATTCTGAGGCCAAATGGAAAAAGGTGTTCTGGTCAAATGAGACTAAAATTGAATTGTTTGGCCTCAACACCAAACCATATGTCTGGCCATAAATCCAATACAGATCACCATCCAAATAACACCATTCTTAAAGTAAAGCATGGAGGTGGTAATATCCTGTTATGGGGGTGTTTCTCTGCAGCAGGGACTGGAGCACTTGTCAGGATAGAAGGAGAAATGGATGAGGCAAAATACCATCAAATTCTTGAGGAAAACCTGCTGCCCTCTGCCAGAAAGTTGTCAATGGGAAGAAGGTTTACCATCCAACATGACAACGACCCAAAGCACACAGCAAAAATTACCACACAGTGGTTGAAGGAGAAAAAAGGTAAATGTCCTTGAATGGCCTAATCATAGCCCAGACTTAAACCCCATTGCAAATCTGTGGAATGACTTGAAGACTGCAGTCCACAAACGGTCACCAACAAATTTAACTGAACTTGATCAGTTCTGCAAAGAAGAGTGGGCAAATATTGCAAAGTCTAGATGTGCAAAGTTAGAAGAGACATATCCCAATGGCCTAAATACTATAATTAAAGCAAAAAGGTGGTTCAACAAACTACTGACACAAGGGGGTGATCCTCTTTCCAATTCAGTGATTCTAGTTTTGATTTTTTTTTTTTCCCCCTGACATGTTGGTGTTATATCTTTCACTTGGATACTATAGGTTTCAGTGAGTAAATACAGCAGGATAAAACAAAAAAACTGTGTCTGCTTTCATTTCTGGGTGCAAATCAACAAAATGTGATTATTCTAAAGGGGGCGATTCTTTTCTATACCAACTGTATCTTCATTTTTTTTAAAAACACACACACAAATTAAAAATTAATCATTTTAAAAAATGACCCCCTCTCTTGCTTACCTGTTTTGCAGGGAGGAGCTGCATCCCTGGTGGTCCAGTGGGATACTCTGGGCTTATCCCTGGTGGTCCAGTGGGATACTCTGGGCTTATCCCTGGTGGTCCAGTGGAGAATTAGTGTGATCTGCATCTCTGGCTGAAGCAGACCATACTAAATCGCTCTTTCCTTTGAGCAGAGGCACCACGAGGGAGCGATTAGTATGGTATGCATCAGAAAGAGATACAGATCATACTGATCCTCAACTGGACCACCAAGGGATGATTTTCATGTAATATATTGCCGGTTCGGCAATATAAATAGGATCTGGGCACATTCCAGGTTTAAAGATGGCCAGCACCATTCGTGGCAGCCACCTTTAAAAACTTAATGAGACTCCGAGACCTGTGGGACACCGGAGGCCTGCATGCAGCACCCCACCTGGAGTGTGCAGGCCCCGGCACCTAGGCTCGCGTGCCACCAGAGTGGCCTCTGTGTGCTCTCTGTGGTACACGTGCCGTAGGTTTGCCATCACTTGCCTGGAGACTCCTAAAATTGTCAGGTAGTTTGACTCTAGCCTGACCCTTCAAGTTATGCTACAACATTAAAGTATGCCATCTGTAGACCCAACAGTATGTGAGAGGAAATCTCCCCAATCACATCTCCAAATACAGCATTGGGATTTAAATATAAAAAGTTTTTTGGAAGAGCAAGGTTTTTCTAAATGCCTCTTAGCACATGGAATTTTTGGCTGTGATACCACAGAATTGCCCACAAATCCATTGCTACATGAAAACAATTACATAGAGTAAAAGATAAATTACATTGTGGGGAAAAGGCTGCAGCTAGCAGCACAAATGTGGGCAGTTGATTTCTGCACTCCACAGCCAGACAGCTTACTCAGATTAGTTGAGTCTATTCCACTACCTACTGCAGATTTCCAGTGACAAGCTGACATGGAGAGTGTATCAATAATTAAAGCATACCACTTTTAATGAGGTTGTTGGAGTCTGGATCTTCTAAACGAACATCAGAAAAGGAAGCCTCTGTAGACTGCAACCTTTTTTGTTCCTCTTTGAGACTCTCTGCAATTTGCTGTACAAGACAAAAAATGTTACAATAAATATTAACTAAACCGTTATTTGTTAGCTGACATGTTCTGCCAAGGTTTATACAGTACCCTCGGCACTGTGCTAGTGGGTGTAATTCTCAAAAACACAATATCAACGAATATGGTGCTGTGGGAGAAATTTTTGATCGAAAAGGTAAACTATAGACATGTGCGCCAGCCAAAAAATTTGTTTAGTTTCGGATTTTTCATTATTTGGTTTTTGGGATTCAGGTCTGAAAGTCGATTTGTTTCAGCATTTGGAGGAAATACAAATTTCCGTTAATTTCGTTAGCCGTAGGATCTAAGAACAAATTTTCGTTGCAGCTAAGTGACATCAGACATAAGGAAAAAAAAATGACTTTTACATTCCGCAGAAGGAACTAAAAAAAAAACGTGAGGTTCCCCCCCTAAAAGTCATACCAGATCCTTTAGGTCAAGTAGGAATTTTAAGGGGGACTCCCAGACCAAAGAAAAGAAAAAAAAAAAAAGTGGGGTCCTCCCTAAAATTCCAAACCAGACCCTTAATCTGGACACTGACCTAGCAGGGCAGGAAAGGGGAGGGAAGCGAGCGAGTATTTGATCGGGATCCAGGGGCCGAACTACTTGAAGGTGGCCACCGACACTGTGTGTGCCAACAGCATCATCAAGATGAAGCAGGATGTGGATAAATAGCTCAAGATGAGCGAGAAGATCCTTCTTTTGCATGTGGGAGAGGCTGGAGATACTGTGCAATTTGCAGAGTACATTCAGAAGAATGTGCAGTTTTACAAAATGAGAAATGGATATGAACTGTCTCACAGTGCAGCTGCAAAGTTCACATGCAGACACTTGGCCGACTACATTAGGAGCAGGACTCCTTACTATGTTAACCTGCTGTTGGCAGGTTACGATGAGCATTGAGGGCCCTTCCTTGTATTACATAGGATTACCTAGCAGGTCTGGAAAAAGCACCATTTGCAGCTTATGGCTATGGAGTCCTCCTCATTCTCAGCATCCTGGATCGCTACTACAAGCCAGATCTCACATAAGAGGCAGTAGATCTTCTTAAGAAATGTATAGCAGAGCAGGTTTATCTTGAGCCTTCCGTTATTCACTGTGCAGGTCATCGATCAGGATGGAATCCACGATTTGGATAACATTCCGGCACGGAGTATATAATCCTCCCCTACCTGACAGTCTATTTTTTACATGGATTTCTACTGCTTTTGGAAATTATCCTCAATACATTAATCCCAGGATGGCAAGGCTTGGGATATGTGAAACGCAACAAAAAAAAATAGTTTCAAAGGCAATTTCTAATTTCTGTTTATATGTCTTCATCAAATGATCATTTTATTCTTTCCAGGTTTGGGATAAATGTACTTTAAACCTATCTCTGGGGAAAAACTGCCCCATAATGCAAGGGTTAACTGCTCATTTGTGTCTAGGAGTATTGTGTAAAGGACTTTTACTTGCCTGAATCCCAATCGCCCAACAGTTGTCAGTCACCTGTCTCCCCTGCACTCTGGCTTGTGGACTGTCCCTCAGCATCAGTGGGCCTCTGACCACTGGAGTGCAGGGGAGAAGAGGCTGTGGGCGCCGGTCTTGAAATCTAGCCTATGGGAGCGAAGATCAGGTAAGTCAAATTCCTTTACACACGACCCCTAGACAAAAACGAGCAGTCAACCCATGCAGTCCAGCCCTAGTACAATGGTAGTTTTTCCTGAAGACACTTTAAAAATCAACTGCTACAGAACAGAAATGCCTTTGCATAGTCATTATTTCAGCATACATTCCGATTCCCAATCAGGTAATTTTTACTCTTTCTTTAAAAAAAAGAAGGAACGCAAAAAGGATATTCACATAGATGTAATCAATTTGTGCAGGCACATACTCGATACCTCTTGCTGGATATTTTCCATACTACAGACAATTACCAGTTTGCGATCCATTGTTAAAACTGGTATTGTTTAGTTATGTAGAACATACCTCCATCATCTCCAGCTTGTCAGGATAGGCAAGGTCTCCTGGAGCTGGCTTGTAACCCAGGATATCTGTCTGGATGTATATGTGTGTCCTATAAACAAGTCTTTCCTGTACGTCCTCCAACATCTGTTTCACCACAGCATCAAAGGCACCCAGTTGACAAACTGATACAAATGAAACAAATAAGTTAATGGAAAAGATATAAAAACTCTTCAGGGTAGTTTCATGAAGCAAAACAAATACAAAACAATCAACGAAAAAACAGAAGCAAGTCAAATGCAGTATGCTCTTCTGTTGCTTTGACTCTACATTAGAATTGCTTTGACCTGCATTTGCCTAGTTTCTGAGGTAGTTGTGATTAGCTTACAAGTGACTTCAGGCTGCTATTAAGTTGCACCTGAGATGCTTGGCATTTATTTTGGGGTTTTTTGTCTTATGAGGAGTGCAAGCAAGTCAGAAGCAGACAAATGCCCATGTACACAAGCCCTACAAATTTAGAACATAGCTCCTCGAGGATCCAAATCACAGGGTTCTGTTGAAACCAGCAAAATATTACTAAAACAGCCACCACACAACATTACCCAAAGGGAATGCAGTTTATTTTCCTTCCTTAATAGATTTTCTTTCATGTGGTGGTATACTAACACTAATAAAATGGAGAAAAGATACTAAATACCACTCAAGGCCAACATATTTGAGAACAAAAAAATGACAGGCATGTAGATTTAGGTATCTTGTTTTCTGCCTATACATACACTGCATATGTAAAGCTAACATACGGGTTGATTTGAGCTTTATTAGGAAATAGGATTTTTGTATTCACCATAAAACCCTTTTCTTGGAGTCCATTGATGAACACAGGAAATCTTAGAATCTAGAAAACCCGCCCACAACCGCCGTGCCTAGGTTTTCTCGCAAAGTAGTACTGACAGCATGAAAGAATCATTGAGGGGACTGACTACACCTCAAAGAGCCGCATAAGGGCTCTATCGCCCGAAGATGGAATCAGATGAGGCCTGAATTTCCACCTGGTTAATGTTAAGAAATAAAAGTAGACGACCAGGTGCTAGCCTTGCAAACTGGAAATAGTTGTACGTTGACAAAGAGGAACTCGCAGATCTAGTAGAGTGTGCCTTGATAGGTACAAGGTGAAACCTGATCCTTAAAACTGTGAGCATGGCTGCCCGAGCCACCTAGAGATAGTGAACAGAGAATCAGTCCTCCTAAGAACAATGGCTAAGAAATAGACTCTCACACTCTCTTAAGCAAATCCACACAATGGAGGGAAATTTCCTTTTGGTGAACTTGAGCCAAATGGGAGGACAATGTTCTTGTTAAGGTGAAAGGCAAAAAAATACCTAGGCAAGAAGGAAGTCCTGGGCCTCAACACCTTTTTCCTAATGCAAACAAGAAAGGGTACCTGTTCAGACACTTGCCTAGTAAAGGTAATGGCTACAATAAACACCAACTGTGGTTTAGAGTAGAGAGAGGAATGTCTCTGATGGGTTTACGTGATGATGTTTAAAGTGCAGAAGGAACCAGATTCAGATCTCATAGAGTCACAGGGGAAGCTACATGGGAGATTTTGTGTACAAAGGTCTAAATCGAAGAGTCAAATACCAACATTCTCTGAAACACAATAGACTAAGCAGAAACCAGGCCCTCAAAGTACTGAGAGCCAAATGGTGGTCCAGACACAGCTGCAGGAAAAAGAGGATTTGTGCCACGGATTAACTCCAAGGGTGGAAATCCAAAGTGAAGTATGCCTTCTATGTATGACGATAAACCTTACAAGAAGTAACCTTACTAGCTGTTAACCTTGTAGGAAACATCCATTCAGAGATGCCCCTGATTCGTGCTGGTAAAATCAGCTGTAAAGAAGAATGGCAAAATGACACTCGGGACAGAAGATCGTGTTCATTTCACAAAGCCCACAGATCATCTGCCAGGAGTCTAACCAGGATGGTGTACCACATCTACTTGGGCCAGTCCAGAGCAATGGGGATCACCAAAATGCCCCATATTTCAATCCTGTGAAGCAGACAAGGAAGACATTTTAATAGACGGAAAATATATAAATCAGGGTATCCCTGTACCTGGAGACAAAACTGTCCAATTACCCCACCTAAAACACAGGACCTGGTACACCTCTGGGCATAGAGTATTGATCGGGAGACCGAAAGGCTGGCATCTGTCATGGGGATCTTTGAAAATTTGGGAATGAAGGAATTCCTTGGTTCCAGAGCTGGCTTCCTGAACCATGAGGCCAGGGTCAACAAGGCTCTGTTGACAACAAATTCACTTGTCCCATGACCACTGTGCATCAGAAAAGCAAGTTCTCCAAGTTACCTCCACACTGGAAAGTAGGGGCTCACCTGCATGTTGAGAAATGCGTGTCTGTGGATTAGGCAGACTGAGTGCTAGACCTAGAAGGTGGACTTCGGACCATGGCTTGCCGAGGGCCTTTTGTAACAGTCAGAGAGAACGAGAAGACTTAATCTTTTCCTTGGGCTTTTTGCACTGAGGAAAATGGGTGCTCTTTTAGTTAGTAACATCCTAGTTAAATTACATCTACAAACAACCTGAAGAAGCCTTGTTCCTTAAAGACCAAATAGAACAAATGCATTTGATACAATAAGTCAGCAGTCCAGCACAATAACTGGGATGCCCATGCATGAGCACTGACAGAAGAACCATGCAATAGCAAAATTGGGAACATTTTAGCGGACCAGAAGGCGAAATAAAAAATGACAGCCATTTCTCCATGCATACTTTATGGTTTGGAGAAGGTACACAAGCAGGAGCTGCCAATGCTACTATTGTAAAGGGTAAATCAGACTGTCACAAAGGAGAAAATAAAAACTCTCAGGTGTAGACTTATTAGTTACAAACCTAAATTGTGGTCTGAAACAGACCAAGCCCTGCATTGCGCTTGCTTAAGCAGAGCAACTCCACATCTGATCGAGAGCGACAAAAGTGAAGGCCAAACAAAAAAGGTTAGGACCCAAACTAAACCCTACGGCCCAAATGTATTACAGTACTAGAGCTGCAGCTAACTATTATTTTCAAAATCGATTAGTTCTATAGAGGAATACAAATACCAGCAATACATTATAGAGCACCATGTGGGGGGGAGTGCAGGCTTACCTGAGCAGTCTTCCAGCAACTTGCTTCTGAGATAGGGCCTGTCTATCAGCGATTGTCATCCCCCCACCTGCTCCTCCTTACTTCTTCACTTCTTTTCCCCGCGTCCCTGTGCTGATCGTGGATGTGGAAGGGCGGTGAGTGTGAAGCGGGGAGGAGGTGCGGCGTGTGGAGCGTGGGTGCGGGCGGGTCTGGCAGCAGCGAGGGTGAGAGGAGGTGCGGCGCGTACCGTGTGTGGAGCCGTGAACAGGGCCAACTAACTAGAAGCCGATTAATCGATGATTGAAAAAGTTGACAACTTTTTCAATAATCGATTATAATCGATTATGTCGATTAGTTGTTGCAGCCCTATACAGTACCAAAGGTAAAGAGGTGGCCTGTAACAGGGCTCCATTCAGTACCGAAGTACAGTACTAAAGAACACATATTGGCCACAGAGAAGGAAGGAAATCCAGCACTTAACATCTTCCCTAGGGTATGTGGAGCTGCAGGGGACAAATGCACATGAGAAACCGTGCATTTGTCACTCCTGTGGCCCAAAGCCAGAGGCAGCTGTGCCCGCTCCATCCCATCTGTCCCTTCAATGAGCCTTGGGGGGAAAAATCACTGAGGGGATCAGTGCCTGGCAGTCACAACTCTATACCTGGAGAAGCTGTGAGCTGAGCAATCAACAGTTACATGCTCACTCAGCTCTTGGTATACACCTGGCACGTAACAGCTGCAGTGCCCTACACTAGCTCTAAGTATCAGGAAGACTATATGTTTACTCTCCAAATACTTCTCCTTTAAACACTCAACATCAAAATACACTATGGGGTCTATTCAAAAAAGGGTGAAGAGTTTGGAGAAGGCAGGAAAAGTGAACAATCTAGGACAACATAGCTGAACTGGAAAAATTCTCTCATTCAGCTCACTTTCCAATTCAGCTATGTTGTCCAAGATGGTTCACTTCTCCAAACTCTTCACCCTTTTGTGAATAGACCCCTATATGATTAACCTGTATGAGGGCCTTCATCGGCTTAGCATGGATAAGAGCCGATAGCTGGCAGTGATACATAATTATGAAATACAGATTACTTCATGAATGACAGCCCATGAGATAAAAAGGCCACAGAATATAGACAATATAAAAACAACGATAAAAGGGATGCGTTACCATTGTTTTGCACATGATCTTCAAGCATTTCAATCTTTAGTATACCACAAAGTTCTGACAAAGTTTCTAAATGAGCTACGTGAATGATCAACGGTCGTAAAACATCATACAGAGACAGGCACAGTTTCTCCAAAAGTTCACTGTAATAAAAAAACAAAAATAAAAAACAATCCAGTTATCCACAAACATAAAAATCAAATCCCAAGAGTTTCACAAAGGCCATACAAATCTCAGGACATAGGTCTGTTCAATCTACTAAAAGGGCTTATATCCAAGGGCATTGCAGGTCAGCAAAATCTCATCAATTCTAATTAAGCAGTACACTTGGCAATCCTCAGGTGGCATTTGACCTGCTTTGCACTGTGTTTCTTTGGATACAGAATGCCCTATTACAATGTGTTTAAACTGCAAGCAAGGCAGGTCAAATGCAGTCTTTTCTTGTCAAATGCAGCATTTGACATTTGAATGCATGCTTTTGCACAGCATATGCATCTTCGAAAAGAACACTCATCAACATGAACCCTAAATGTATTTAGTGAAATCTCCATAGTGGGTTTGGTGAATGAGCTGTCATAGCTGGTAAATATCACTCAGCAGCTGTTTGCTATGCCAAAGGTCTGTCATTTCTGAAGCTCTAAAATGTATATTATTTGTGCATACAGTTAATTTATTTATCGAGTGCAGGACTGGAAAATTACATTTTTGTATATACCACTTGGTCAGAAAGAAGTATGCGTTAAAGCCACCTAAGTTCCAGGCCGTATTCCTACTATTATAATGTAGCTTGTGTTATGACTTTACAGTTGAACTTTAAGGGGCGATTTACACTTCAGTAAACCGTTCAGCCATGTGTTAACATGCGTTGCTTTAGGGCAGCCCATTCATTATGGATAATGGATCAAAAAACTTGCATGGCCCTTTTTTTTTGCAACGCAGCACAATGCACATCGTGGTATGTTCATCGTGGTGCACTCTACTGTACAGTGCTACTGCAATGCACCACACACAGAGCAGGTGTGTAGTGGGAATGTGCAAGTGTGAATGGCTCCTGACATGTCACAATATAAAACAACTGTAAGGCCTAATTTCACACACAACACAAGAGCAAAATTGTATATTGCGTATATACGCATGTATACACATATGCACGCATATGTGCGTATATGCGTGCACTATATGCAATCCCAGAATGTATCATTCATAATAGAAATTTCAATGAAGTGTACACGTATACGTGCGCAAAACACACGTATATGCGTGTAAAATACGCAGAAATGCGCTGCCCGGACACATCTCAGTTCCATTCTGTTTTTGCGCATTTTTTCGCTACGCAAATATACGGCTCTATACGCAGCTATGTAATAGGGAGATGAACTCTTGATACTCTTGACAGCTCTTATCTCAGTGTCTCTGCACTTTCCAGACACAAGCTAGGTCACAGGAATGCAGAGGGAGGAGGCATGCTCTCACAGGAATGCACACAGGCAATAGAAATGGAAGGGGAGCCTTGTTTTGTGTTGGGAAAGTGCAGAGACAATAATATTAGTTGTTAACCCCTTCGTGACTGACGACGTACAGTGTTTAAACAGACTCCCGGCGACTTTTGCCGCCGGGAGTCTGTTTAAACTTGTAGAGCCGACTGTCGGCTTTACAACAGAAGCGATCCTGGCGACTTACCTGTCGCCAGATCGCTTCTGCGTCCCGAAGAAGGGGCCGCCCCCCCCCCCGCCGGACACCCACGCTGTGCTTCCCGGGCTCTGTTGCCCCTCCTACGGGCCCGGGA